CCCTTGAGGCGCTCCCTGCGCTCGCTTCCACTCGCGATGCCTCTGTGCCCGCTCCACCGCTCCCACGGCGGCACGCAAGGCTTCCAGCCCAGCAGAATGTTCATAATTGCACCTGTACGTGTCCTGGGCTGTCAGGGCTGGCGTGTCTATGTGTGAGAAGGCATGCTGTCTTGCAAACACCGACCCTGCAGAGTGCATCTCTTTGTACATGCAACGCATGCCTTTTTCACAGCTACTGATGGAGGAAACCTGCCTCTTGGACTGGTGTGCAATTTATGCTTAAATTACTGGATTGCCATTCCTCATTTTGGCCACTTGCGACAGATCTAGAGCCTACATTTGAGTTACCTTATGACACTGAATACTCATTTTATACTCGTTTCTGGTTTTTGCTGAGAATGCAAATAAAAGATGCTGCTCATACCTTATAGGTTGGGAACATCGAAACATATTTTTAGAAATTTTTTTGACCTCTTGCAAGAAAAAAAACCCAGAGCTGCATTTTTAAAAAACATTTGTGTTCTGATGCTGTCCTGTGCCTAACCTGTAAAGTGACATGTTGGACTCCCATTCTTAATATCTCTGATTTGCTGGGTCGGATTCTGCCGTGGTGCAGGTATCATGCTTGACCTAAGCATCAAGGTAGCCTATCAGGAGAATGTTTTGTTGCTTTTCAGGCAGTAATGTGAGGTTTATTGCTTCTGCTCTGACTCAGATTTTGTTTCTATTGATCTGGCCTACTGCTCTGCATAGGAATTTCAAACCCAGGGCTGCTGTGCTGTAAATGGTACTCAACCTGGCTCAGACAGAACACCTGCTGATTTAAAAAGGTTTTCTAGGAATGGGTATGATTTTGGTGAAATCTGGGAGTGGTGAGACAGTCACTGTTGAACAGGGCACAAGACACAAGTACTCTGTCAGTACTTCTGTGTCAATCAAAAGATGCCATGGGCACCTCAATGCAAGGACATCAAACTATTGAGAGTGGATCCAGAGCAGGCATGGGGAAAAGGCTTCAGGACAAGGCTTAGGAGGAGCAGAGCTGAGGTCACTTGTTTTGTTCAGCTTGGAGAAGAGAAGGCTGAGGGGTGACCCCATCACAGTCTACAGCTTCCTCAAGGGGGTCAGCAGATGGGGAGGTGCTGATCTCCTCTCTCTGGTGACCAGCAGCAGGACACAAGGACATGGAATGAAGCTGCATCAGGGGAGGTTCAGACTGTACAGTAGGAACATCTGCTTCACTGGGAGGGTGGCTGGGTACTGGAACAGACTTTCCAGGGAAGTGGTCAGGGCACTAAACCTGTCAAAGACCATCTGAATGATGCTCTTAGTCATGTGGTTCAGTATTAAGTGGTCCTGTGAGAAGCAGGGAATTTGACTCAGTGGTTCTTATGGGTATCTTCCAATTTGAGATACTCTGTGATTCTACTCAAGCTGTGTGGTTTGAGCCAGTTCCACCTTTGCTTCTACAGGAAGCAAAATCCCAAGGAGAAGCCTCAGGGAGGAAAGGCTGGAAAGTTTTTGCTGGGATTTCCATAGGAGTTACCCAGAAGCTGTTGATGGATTGCTCCTTTGACTGTGTCTGTTTCCCAGAACTGTGGCAGTTTGGTGGTCTTCTGGGATTCCCTGCTTTGTCAGCAGAACTCCTAGCAGAAAGGAGTAGACTGTCAGTGTCATACTGCAACCTTTCTGACTTCCTGCTCTCTAACTGACTGTTTTGGTAGTGCCTAAGATAGAGAAATATGGCTCTCACTTTGGAGATGATTTTGACCCAGGTATTTCCAGTGTCCTCTCCAAGCCTAAGTTCAAGCTCTGTGATACTGCTAATGCATTGACTCTGCCTCCTTTCTGAGAACCTTGCCACTGTCACCTTTCAGTGGCTTTTGATAATCCTTCTGCTTTCAGCGGCCATTCCCAGCTAAATAATTTTCTGTGTAAGAACTTTGGTATCCTGCACATTAAGAATTGAACATTAGGTGGGTCTTCTGTATGTATGGTTATGTATGGTTGTATTTTAAGGAGGTGATTGGCTATTTTAATTGGTAAATATATGCTGGGTTCTGGTAGACTTTTTACTTTCAAGACTTCAATGTAGCTGGAAAGATGCTGCATAAATTCTCTGTCATTACAGAGCATAAGTGACCTCATGGTATTCAAGTCAGGAAAATGCTGTGAAATGTAACTGTAGAATGATGCCCAGAATAATTTTCAATGTTGATCTCTAATAATTAATGTAATAGTTGATATTGTGGTTTAGAAAGTTACAAAAATAGTCCTCCAACTATAGCAAAGGTGTGGGGATGGATTCCACTGCTGTAAGGCTGGTATAACTCAGATGTAGCTTGAGCAGTTGAAATCCAAGTAGTTTGTTAATTATAACCTCTGGGGTTTTCCTCTCTTCTTTTTAACCAAACTGTGAGAGCCTGAAGATGCTTTCACTACTCAGTCATGGTAATTTTTAATAGTGGTAAATATTTTGCTTTCTATTGGCTTTGTGAAGTTGTGAGGCAGCAAAATAACCCTTGCCAGATGCCTGAATTTTGAATTACTTTCCAGTGATGTTGTATCTTCTACATCCATCAGATTTCTCTTTAATCTTTGTGCATGGCAGTGCAATATTTGTACTACAAGACTGCAAACCAAATGTTCTTGGTTTAAAAACCAAATTTTAAATATTATTTATTAATAATATATATTAATATATATTATTATATATTAATATTATTTGCTTGAATTTATAATTACATGTTTGCATTATGTGTTTTGAAATCAATAGCCTCCAAGCAGGTAACATCTTCAAAGCTCCTCTATGAATCTATATCCCTTCAAGGTCGGGTCTTTGTCAGATTATAGCAAATTTATCTTCCCATCTTCAGAGATGGATTCCTGCTTCCTTCTCTTTATAGATCTGTGCAAAGCATCTGTACAGTTCTCTGTCATCAGCTCTCAAAATCCAGAATCTATGAGTGTAGAAAAATGTAATTTTGGTAGTACTTCTAGTTTATGTATCTTTAAAGTCTGTTTGAATTTCTCCTTTAAAATATGAGGACTAGAAATCTTTGCTCCAGGAGGTAGGGCTCTAAATAGAAAATTCAACAGCATGCTAGAAGAACCATGAGAAAGCTCTGTGTTGTGGCCACACTGAAGACTGTCAGGTCAAATGAGTGTAAACACAGCTTCTTTGGAAATGACACAGCAGTGTGGATCATAGTCTGCAGTTTGCTCTCTGAAACATCCAATGACCTGGAAAGGAAAAATAAAACATGGAGTATTTTCAGGAACATGGGCTTTCAGTTCTTCTCGCTTGAAGTGGTGATGCTGTATGGTTTGCTTGCCATGCATTTGGATCACTGTGGGCTGCTGAGAAACCATCACTCATCCTGTAAACTTTAGGATCCCTGCTTTCTCTGGAAGATCATACTTGGACATCACATTTTCCTGTGTTGAACAGTGTGCATCAGCCATGGTCACAAGAGAGGCAAAGTGAACTGATGTATGTCACCATCCACACAGTGGCATTTCACAAGAGGCACACAACTGCAGCACACACTTTAGTACACAGCTGTGCAGTGAAACCTTCTTAGTTAAGTTTAACAAATACCAACAAATAAGGAATGTAAATGAAGATTAGATAGACTACAGTTCTTTTTCTAACTTTGGATTAAATGTACTCTAATAAATAATAAAGCAGACTGATTGCTTGAGAAAATTGACTTGACTCAGTGCTTGAGAAAATGGTTAGGCTAGAAGAGCTAGTCTAGTATGGCAGATCTTTTATGTTAAAAATGATAATTCAAAGTATAACTGCATCTCAGATTATTTTATAAAAAATAATGAATTATTTGAATTAATTGAGGGCAGCTGATGCTAAAATGCATGTTTTATTTTGTGCATTTCTTCCATCTCTATCCAGAAGGTAATATCTTCGTCCCATACTCCATTTCTCAAGCTATAAGTTTATTTTTTGAAATTGCATATTACAATACTCCTTAAAGTGCTTAAGGGAAAGACCTGTTCAACCTTACATTGCATGGATTGTAAACA